GTTACCTGGTCTGAAGAGTCACAATTTCTGTAATGACATTCGTATACGAGGGCTAGACGCAAACAGGAAAGAATTGATAAATTCTGCTTTTTATCGACGATTCAAGCTGCTGGTGATAAAGTAATAGTATGGGAATATTTGCTTGGCATACACTGGGACCCTAGTTTAAATGTCCCTAACTACCTAGGTACTGTGTCTGACCATGTACCTCAGTTTATTACTACACTTCGCCCATCCTCTGGTGGCTACCTCCAGTAGGACAACGTACTGTCATAAATAAAAAAAATAAGGTTAGATTGATTCATAGAACACAGCAATGAATGTTCTGTGTGAAAGGTACTGTGGCTGATCAAGTACCTCAATTTATTCTTACGCTGTGGCCATTGGTTGGTTGATAGCCGCATATCAACCTCTATGGGTTATTTAATGCTGAAATCTAAATGATTTGTGCGTAATTGTATACTTTTAGGATAAAGATATGTTTTTAGATATATAGTTTGTACGTCATGAAATGTATTGTTGGTAATTTTACTATAAGAATGTATTTTTATATTTTAGTATTGCATCGAAGTAGAAAAATTACACTGAGAGTTGCCCATCTCTGGGGAAAAGCTGCCCGAGGCCGCCTCCTTTCATTACACCAGAGAAAGGGATCGGTGGTCGCAAAGAGGCCAGCGCAGCCGACGGTTGAGGGGGCTGCGGGCGATTTTTGTTCCGGGTCCTGGTGTACGCGCTTGGATCCCCACCTTAAAATGAACCTTGTGTTACAACTCGTCTTAGTAGGGAGACAGAGTAAATACCTAGTATTGCATCGATTTTCATTTTGTTATAAAAATGTATTGTTGCTCATTTTATTATAAAAAATGTATTGTTGATTTGTATTTGGGAGTTCACTATTTTCCCATAGCTGGGACCCTAACTGATGCTACCACCTCAGATCTGGGTGAACTGGGGACAACAACAATTAACAGGTTGGTCTATACTCGTCAAAACCTCCAGTCTCCTGATTGGAAGCCTTGCTGCCGGATGTAATTTATCGTCATACCCAGGACGAACACTGTGTCATAAAATTAGGTCAGATTCATTGATGAAACACAGTATTGAATGTTCTACTTTTAAGTGGGTCTCCACAGTCACCAGTTCTAAGTTCCATAGAGCACTTTGGAATAGATGAAAAGGTAGATTGGAATTCTGGATGTGTCAACAAATATTCTTGAAGAATTAAAAGATGCATAGGCCCAAATTTTAAGAGTGTTGTCAGAACATCATAGAATCTATGACAAGAAAAACTGATGCAAAAAGCTAAAATAGCTCCAACCTGTCGCGAGAAGAGTTTACCAAGTAAAGTGACAAATGTGTAAATATATAGTTTTCTGTAAGCTTATTTGAAAAAAAATAATTCTGTAATATTTCCATTTTTCGATTTTTTTTTTGTGATTAACCATCGGTGTTAATTGGAATTGGCAGACATTTTGGACATCTTAGAAAATGTACGGCTTAATTATTTTATTTTTATTGCTTGATACATCATTGTTTAAAAATAGTTTTTCTTTTGACTGCTATACTCATGGCCCGGTGGATAAAGGCAGTGACTACATCCAAAGAGTTGCGAGGTCAATGCCAGGACATAGTGAACCAAAACTTGGAGAGTTGAGTTAAAGGGAAATAATTGAAACATCCGGAAGAGGCATGGCAAGTGCAACTAGAACAATCTACTCCGGTGGACGAAATAAAGAGTTCGGTTCGAAATTCCAACACCTGAAGAAGACCGGAGCGTACAACTGCCGAAATGTTGTGAATATGGCAATGGAGATGAGGATAACAGTTCGAGTAATGTAAATAAGGAAAGAAAGGTGAGTTAAGTGACTTTGAATACAGCTTGGTTGTTGGTGCCAGGGCAGATCTGAGTATTTCAAAAACTGCTGATCTAATAGATTTTTCACTCTCAACCATCTCAATGATTAACAGAGAATGATCAGAAAAAGCGAGTGACAATTCTGTGAGCACCATAGAGAACTTTTGGGATAAAGTGAAAATGAATCCTGGATGTGTAACCAACCATTCTAGAATAATTGAAGAATGGCATAATAACAGCATGTATCCAAATTTCAAAAGTGCTACCAGAACATCATTTAAAGAAGAATTGAAACAGTTTGAATTCCAAGAATTGAATCATTCCAAGAAGAATTGAAACAGTTTGAAAAGCAACCTACTACTAGAAGAGTATGCCTAGTAAAGTGACAAGTGTGTGTAAATATATAGCTTATTTGAAAAAAAAAGTTTTTTTTCTATGATACTTCTATTCTTCATTTTATGTGATTATCTTAATTTGTTTTCATTTCCTCAATTTATACTCTCTTGTTACTTCTCAAAATATTTTCTCTGGTTAATATCTTTAGGTTTTATGTCCTTATCAAAAATGCAATGAGAAAAACAATTGCAGCCTATACCAAGTATTAAATTTTTAATCTTTCTTTTTTAAAGTTCTGGAGTGAAATATTGAAACAAGTACCTGTAGATTTGATAACTAAAGCTTCAATGCCTTGGTTAGGAGTTTGGTTCTGTCTCCTTATGCAACCAGCAAATGTTCCATTTGACCAAAGTTATTTTTTGGAAGCTAAGCATCGTGGACGAGTAAGTTTGAAAAATATATATTTTAGGAAACTAATAATTGATCATTATACATCATATTTTCTCTTTTATAGAATTAGTAAGTAATAAAATTGAATAAGATTCTAGAGATTGCCAATTCTGTGAGCAGCACAGAACACGTTTGGGATAGAGTGAAAAAGGAAATTGAATCCTGGATATGAAACCAACAATTCTAGAAGAATTGAAGAATGCCATAATAACGGTATGTATCCAAATCTCAAGAGAGTGCTATCAGAACATTAATAGATCTATGTCAAAAAGAATAGAAGTAGTTCTGAAAGCAAAAAGAGCTTTAAACAGATACTAGTAGACTATACATAATAAAATCACCGATGAGTGAATATTATCGGTTTATCACATCAAAACAATAATCCTCCATCAATAAAATTAGTTTTAATCTAATGCGCACAGTGCCTTTGAACTATAAGATAATTCATAGAATCAGTGAGACACTAAACAAGAAATACATCTCTAGGGCGATCGCATTAGATATTTTAAAGGCCTTTGACAAAGTGTGGTACAAGCTCTCTAGCTATGAAATAATTGGAAGAGTTTTCTCAATTATAAAATCCTTCCTAACGGCTAGGTTGCTGAAGATAGTTGTTAACGGCTAGTCCACCGAGGCCCAAGCGATAAATACAGACGTCCACCAAGGTTTCTCTTCTCGGTCTAAGCTTATTTTTGCTTTATATAATTGACCTGCCTAAGAGTATACTCCGATCATTTGTGAATATCTATGTCGATAAAACGACAATATATGGTTACACCTCCGAAACTCTAGACGGCCAGAGATTAGCAACTGATCTCTTCTCTGACCTAGCTTTAGCAGCTCATTGGTGGTGGTGGTGGGGGGGGGGGACTGGCTGGTCACATGCAATGCCTCGAAAACTAGTGATATTCTATCATTGCCGATTTGGCCCAGAAGTTTCACCAATCGCGATAAACGGATGTGACTTTAAGGCGATCCGATGCCTCGAGACCGCCTATTGGGGCTTAACTGGAACATGTATATATGATCCATCGCTAAAGACGCTGGAAAAATGATCCCCCGTACGTACCTGAGTCCTCCTGCTATGTTCTACTTTTACAAGAGCCAGACCAGGCCCAAAATGGAGTACTGCTGCCATATATAGGTAAAAAACAAACTTGTCTTCATTTTCCAATCTCCAAAAGCATTTCGACATCCTTGTGCGGGAAGAATTATTTTCTGCAGTACAATTCCTTTCCCACAGACGAAACGTTGCAAGTCTCTCGCTGTTCTGACAACGTTTCCATGGAAAGTGCACAGACGAACCTGATGCCTTAGTGCCATCAATTGTAAACTTTACGGCTATGGCCCGCCATGCCAAGTGACATTGTAGTGAACTACCCTGATTCCCTTTGTATTCTATTGGTGAGATGTAAGTTCCACTCGAGCAGTTTCTTCTAACGAAACCCTGAATTGTGAAACTGACTCCTAAGTGGATGCTTCGACGATCATTACAATCTTAACCTGTTCACGTCTAGGGTTAACCGTTATCTTCCACATATATCCCCATAAACTGTAGCCCTCTACCTCAAGTGGCTCTCTGGCTTTTTACAGAATGAACATGATGATAAGAAAAATAATTTTAGACATATATACTAAAGGCTATTCTACCACCATAACATGTGAATGCACCTTTCATTATAAACTCCGGACCATTAACAGCATAAACGCTACATTAGCCTTCTCTCGACTTTCTACATTCTTTCCTTGAAAACGACCAACGATCCTCAAAAGTCTTCTTTCATGCCCGATGTTTCTTCAGGCCGTGGTCGACCATAGCTCTCCATAACTTCCCGTTATTTGTAACTCTTTATTTTTCTCTTGCTTCTTTATGCCAGCCGTCATCAACGAACATTTGGCAGTTTAATCGCTGCTTTCCTCAATTTCTCTTACCTTCAATAAGTTCTGCGAGTGTCAAATTTTCAAAGCCTTCTTTCCTCATTATATATCCCAAATATTTCAAAGTTTTCCTCTGACTGAAAGTATAAGTTCCATTGTTTTTCTTATTTTCCTTAAAACTTACTCGTTGCTCATATGTTCAGTCCATTGTATTCTTAGCATCTGTCTGTAGAACTACATCGCTGTCACTTGCGAGTTTCTTATTCATCGGTGAGGAAATTGTCAACCATTTACTGTCATATAGCAGATTAGATATGAGATAGCAGTTGAGTACTTGGACGCGCCGAGAACCTTTCAATGCCCTTTCGCATATCTAAAGAGATATTAATGATAATTTGGTATAGGTTCGTCATTAACATTTCAAGGGACATGCAATGAGTTCAGATATTATATCAGATTAATTCTAAAAGATTCTCGCAAACTACGACAAAAGGTTTTTAGTTTGGAATAGAAATGAGAACAGACTGAGAAGGAGAGAACGTAGGTGTAGAGAAGAATAGTTAATCATGAAGAGAGGGACAGACCAATCTGGACATAGATAGATAGATAGATAGATAGATAGATAGATAGATAGATAGATAGATAGATAGATACCCCCACACACCCGACAATCGCAAGAGATCATCTTATAGCTCAGTTGTGCATGGACATAGCTGTGCCTTTCTCTGATAGATAGATAGATAGATAGATAGATAGATAGATAGATAGATAGATAGATAGATACCCTCCACACACCCGACAATCGCAAGAGATCATCCTATAGCTCAGTTGTGCATGGACATAGCTGTGCCTTTCGCAGATAGATAGATAGATAGATAGATAGATACCCTCCACACACCCGACAATCGCAAGAGATCATCTTATAGCTCAGTTGTGCATGGACATAGCTGTGCCTTTCGCAGATAGATAGATAGATAGATAGATAGATAGATAGATAGATAACAAATAAAGAAAGAAGGGACGAAGAACCAATAAGAAAGAAACAAACGTAGAAAGAAAAAGACTGATAAAAAAATAATCAAATAAAAAAAACTGATATGAAACAAAGAAATAAACTAATCAGCAAAAGAAAGAAAAAGAAAGAACTGATAAAAGAAAGAAAGAAAGAAAGAATTGATTGATTGAATGAATCGTTTTCTACGGCTTATTAACCTTTAAAGCCAGAAACTATTTTTAAATTGTAAGAATTTTTATTTTTATCTTTTTTGCAGATAAGATTTTAGTGATACAAGGCTTACTAATTAACCCATAGCTGGGGGAAAAGTTGTGGATTCTTACGTTTCCCAAGGGTATTTGCGCGTAAATGAATACAACGAACCCAAAGGTAATTAGACCTTTGCTCCTCGATGAACAATTCCGAGACATTATCTGTTACACCACCCGCAAGTCCAAGCACCTGGTATTCTGTGGTTGTACGGGAAAGCTTGGAAAGAAAGAAAGAAAGAAAGAAAGAAAGAAAGAAAGAAAGAAAGAAAGAAAGAAAGAAAGAACTCATAATAAAAACAAAGAAAGAAAGAATAAGAAGAAAACGAGAAAAGAAACAAACACAAAAATGAACTGATAAGAGGGAAAAGAAGGAAGGAAAGAAAGGACCTGATAATTGAAACTAAGAAAAAGGGAGTGTAGCTATAAAGTAAGAAACAAAACCGATAATTTGTATTGGTTAAGTTTCTTCCTGTTTGGACGACAGCAATGTGTAGTGTATGTAGGTGTTTCCTGTTCAGAGTTCAAGGCTCCCAGTGCTGAACGTTGAATTAAGCAGGCTAATCCCCTAATGTAAGCTTTTCACTGTGTCTATGAATCACTTGGCCAAGGTTAAGATACAGAGACGCCGATTTATGACAATTATTTGTTGACGACCGAAAGAAGAAAATCTGATCTGACATGCAGTCGTCGTCATTATGAAATCCACCATTATCAGAGACAGTTATAAATCCTAGTAATAGTCAATGCCGCCATTATTGAACAATTTTTGCCACATGTTAGAGATTTAATTTTTCTCGACTTAGTTTTACTTTTTCTTGTTCCGGTTAATGTTTTCTTTTTCTCGTTCGAATTATCGATTTACTATTTCTTATTTCAGTTAAAGATTTCCTTTTCCTTGTCCAAGTTAGAGTTTGTCTTTTTGTTGATGTTTTGGATTTTATTGGAACAAACTAAACGTAGGTAAAAAGCATCCTTTCTTTTTCTAAATGAATAAAAACGATCGCCTCAAATAGTTGTCTCCATTTTCTTATTGTGTGGTGCAAAAAAGTCTTGCTTAGTCTACTATGGAACAAAAAAAATATTGATGGCTCTCCGAATCAATGAAATGAACTGCTTTTGATTAACGATGGGGCGGATCTAATATAAAGATCCACAAATTTCATCCATCTTGTTATGGATGGTGACTTATTGGCTGATTTGACCGAGTTAAGGACCACCGTACAAAGAATGATGTTAGTTTTTGATTGCTTGAAAACTTCAGATTGTTAATTCATCTCAATTCAAGGTTTTAGAAACATTCAGTCGAGTATCTGATATTCGTAGCGTTTTTTATCCATTACATTCCAAAGAAGGCGATAATTCTACTAAGACACAAAGAATTACTGGGAATGAAAGAGAATGAGAAGAATTTAATGAAGAGAACGGAAAATAAAAGAACTGGTTTCAGGTAGACAGAAAATGGAGATTAGCGTTGCATTTAAACTTTGAATATTTTAGGTGTCAGGGAAACAAAAAACCGGAAGTGAGTTCCACAGGCTAGAAGTGAGAGAAAAGAAACTATTAGAATAGAACTTACCGTTACATCTTGCTAGTTCTGAAGTAAAATGGTGAGACCTAGTTGCCAATCTAGTAACACGCTTAAATTCATGCATGTAGAGCCACCAAGGGTGGGGGGAAGCACATCAGGACAACTGCTATGGAAATACTTATAGAAAAGGCACAGAGAGGCCATATCAAGGCAGTCGGAAAGTAAATGACCATTTATATTATAGATCTTTCTTTGAATTTTGTCGAGAATCTCGAGATATATAGTCAGCCATTTATGTGCCATGCGTGATACACGCCTAGGCGATCATGTATCTTTCGATACATGATTGACGAGGCAGATTTTTCCCGCAGTAGGTTGCCATTTCTTTCTGCGGTAGACCAGTTGTCATCCAAGGGTATAGAACCCGGTCAAACCATAGCCTGAAGAAGAGGATTCATACCTTTCCCAAGAGTATTAGCGCGAAAGTGAATGTGATGGATTCGACTGGAATTCGTACTCGGCTCTCCGATTCCTCAATTAGAACCGCTAAAGATATATACTAGGAACATCAGACGAGATATGACAGCAATATTGAATGTACGACCGAACGGTAGTTTTATAAATGTGCAAGATAGATATCTTGCACATTTATAAATCTTCATTTATGATAAGATTGTCTGGCATGACACAGTGAGCCAACGTTCCTATCAGCAGACCGAGCAGTTGATTCAATAGAATCATTTCCTGGAGTTTGCGACTGCTTTACGATACCCTTGTGTCCCGCTTGCGACCATTTTCATAATCATTGGAAGAGTCTATAATCTACACTTTAAGGTAAAGAAGGTGAGTCATCTTTCTACACAACATTCTTCTGCTGAGATACTAACTTGGGCCAACGATAGATGATATTATTCACTAAGTATATTTAGTCATAATGTGTCACACACTAACAATAGCATGCGAAACGAGTTTTCTTCTGAGCTTACGGTGAGTTTTTATCAAGCTAAGATTCGTGTAGCTCCAAAAATACATAATGTTGAAATTTCAATCATTAGCATGTGAGATGTGATTGTAAAGTTTATTATTAATTAATTTTTTTAAAATCCCATCATTGAAAAATAAATAAATAAAACTGAGAAGACTTAACACCTAATACCACAACTTGCCAAAAATAGTCCTTGGGAAAGGTATGAATCCATCTCTTCTCCCGCAGCTATGGGTAAGACTAGTATCAGTTAATCATTATTATCCCCCACCCCTAAATTCTTACAGTCCAGACATATTTACTGAATTTAAATAACATGTAAAGGGTTGATGGACTGTAAAAATAACAAATCAATGAATCCATCTTGGAAATGGAATAAAACAAGTTTTCATTCCCTCCTACAAGGTTTTTTTGGGATTCTGAGTCGTCCTTCTCTTAGAATAGGTGATATTCAGATCTCGGTTTGGTTTTGGTTTGGTTTATCAATGGGTTATTTAATGCCAACACATTTTTTTTCCCGGTAATTTTTTTCTCAAAAATGTATTTCTGGTACTATTTTTTTCTTCAAAAAATGTTATTCTAGTAATATTTTTTTTTCAAAATGTACTGCTGATAATACATTTTTTGCAAAAATGTATTGCTGATAATACATTTTTTGCAAAGTATTTCTGGTATTAAAACATATTTTTATTTTACACATTCATAGTGTTTTGACCCCAGTCTGGGGGTTAGCTATTTGACCATAGCTGGGACTCAGGGTCAGAGTGGACCTGGGAACACCAGCAATTAAGAGGTGGTTCCACACTTCTCAAAACCTCCTGATCAGAGACCTTGCTGTTGGACATAGTTTATCGTTATACCCAGGACGCGAATGTAGTTTTTCGTCATACCCAGGACAGAGAGAGATCTCGAATGTGTCCCTTCTATCTAGCTGGGACAGGAAGAAGAGACGGGTGTATGCCCTTTCAAAAGGTAAGTCTCAGATGGAATTGAAATTGAAAAAAGGCAAATCATTCGATCTCCAGAAAAGTTTGCTCCGCGTCTTTCACCACAAACCTTCTTCGTGGAATTCGATCAATCCAGAAAAGTGGGACACCCATCTCCTCCAAATGCAAACACAAGTAAGGTGTAACTAAACGCATATGTTATCCTCAACCGAGTCTGACAGACCATCCGCTACGCACACACAAGCACACAGACCTCTTATGTGCCGTGTCCTTTCAGGACGTAGGCGATCATAATTTCCTGTCCTGTGTAGCTCTTAATCTTTTTCTTTTGTTATCTTCCCTAATCTCTGTCTACCATCCATTTACTCAAGTTCACAACGTGGGTTATACATTGTTTACCTTTGTCTTTCTTACCATTAATCTGTCCTGTGAGTATCAGATTTTTCAAGCCTTCTTTCCTTATTATGTACCCTAGAAATTTCAATTGTCTCTTCGTGATTTTAGTATAAATGTCCTTGATGTTTCCAAAAAACAAAAAAAAAACATCACCGGTCCACGATATTCTCAGCATCCTTCCGTAGAACCACATTTCTGTTGCTTCAAGTCTTCTTATTATTCTTCCTCTTTGAAGATTATCCAGCATTGGTCGCCATTTAGGAGGACTGATATTACATCACAGTTTCTTTGTTTTTAACGAAATGTTTCTGTTTCTTATTACTTTGCTTAGCTTTTAGAAGTCATTTTTCGCTATCCAATTTGTTTAGTTGTTTTTAAGTTTTGTTTTTATTCTATTCACATACGGGAGAATTTTTCTTTCTACTGCTCGAAGGCCTAGTATAAGCTGGCTATTTAATAACAGCCAGAGAACTATGAGGCATCGCTCTACGGTAGTCTCTTTAGTCAGCTCTTCTTTTGCAGCACTAGGATTAGAAGTTCAATGTTTCCAGTTCATTTTTCATAAACTGAAAACGTGCAAAGTTTGATTGTATGACAGAAATTAATGTTTATCCTTTTTAGATACAAGAGTGCCTTCTTGATAGTCGTTTTTAATTCAACATTCAAGATCTTTGTCAAATAAATATTGACGGAGACAGTTTTTTAAAAAATCTCAAAACAAATCCGCATTTACCTTTAATGTTTTGAAAACGATGTTTTCACCGGTTGACGTGTTGTTCAAATTCATGACGCTTCTTATATTTTAAAATCCGAACAGACATGAAAGTTATTTTAAAAATATTAAAAATAGTTTTGTAAATGGCTCAAAGGTTTTTTCGTTGTTAATCTGAGTTTTGTATTATTTTTGTTACCTCAATTCAAACGCCCTGAGAGATCTGGCTCCTTCCACGGCAAATGGTGGATTATGACGTCATTATAATCCCTTTCAATCCTACCAGTTCACGCGAGAAGTGAAGTTAGAGAAGAAAGAAAGAAAGAAAGAAAGAAAGAAATCAAATTTAACAAGAAACCAAACTTCAAAAACAAGTGTAGGAAAGGGTGGAAAATAATAATAAGAAGAAAATCTAAAGAAAGAAATGAAAGAAAACAGAGAAAACAAAAGAGAAGCGGAGAGAGAAGAAAAAACGAAAACGAAAAAGAAAAAGAGCAAAAGAAAGACAAAATGTACTGAAAAAGAACAAGAGAAAGAAAGAAGAAAAAGAATAAGAAAAGGGAGAAAGAAGAGAAAAAGAAAAAAGAAAAAAGTATAGAAGAGTACAAGAGAAAGAAGAAAAGAGAAAAAAATAAGGAAAAACAAAAATGGAAAAAGAGATATGGAATAAAAGAACAAGAGAAAAAAGAAAAATAAAGAAAAAAGAAAAGGGGTGGAAATGAAAAAAAAATACGAAAAAAAAAAAGCAGAAGAAATAAAAGAAAAACATTGTAAGGAAAGTAAGGCAAATTTACAAAAATAAAATAAAATAAAATAAAAACTAATGCGTCACACGATAAAAAAGCAAAATCATTTCAGTTTTTCCTGACAGGTGGTTGACCTATATTTTGCGCAGAAAAGAAAAAAAAACTAGGATTAAACTGTTTGAATGGGTTAAGGTATGGTGCGAAAATGCAAACACGTCAAGGGCAAAAAAAACGAGACCCATAAGTGTAGGGCTGGAATGAGGGTGGCCGTTGATAGACACGGTCGTGTTGAAAGATGAATGGAAGATGGACGACTGATTGCTGTGGGTCCGGATTACGTGTCACGGTTGCAGAATAGAGATGAAAGCAGCAAGAAGAAAAAGGAAACTAAAATGAGTGCAACCCCCACCCGGCAAAAAGAAAAGAAAATCATAAATTATATCCTAAATTTTTTTTTTTGTTACGGCTGAAGTTTGAAATTGTCACTCGAGCAAACTATAGAATCAAATCCCAGGACAATTTAACAGTTCATGCTCCTCCGTGGTCTTTTATACAGGAGTACAGGTTTATCCTTTGTTTCCTGTCTAGGATTCGGTTTCCGGTTCTTTCTAATGTCTAATGCGCTGATATAATTCACACAATAACCCTCTACGTTGAGTGGCTCCTGGGCGTTGCATCGGGTGAGTATTTGTGAAAAAAATAACAATGAAATTCGATTTACACTATTTACATAGTTCGAACTGTTGTCCTCATCCGTATTACCATATTCACGACTTTTCATCCGTATTGCCATATTCATTCACGACTTTTTAATTATATATATATATATATATATATATATATATATATATATATATATATATATATATATTGGACTCTCCTGTCGGTTTTGACGTATGAGAATCTGACAGCTTAATTGATTCAGTTATGAAATTAAGTGCGAAATTTTAAGTGGCAGTTAAGACCCGCTAGTGATTTAAAAAGGAAGCCACATATGAAGCAAGAGTGAGGATTGTGGGATGAGATCGCTGTTAGATTGGCTGAACTTTTAGATCTTGCTCTCGATTCTTGAAGATGATTCAGACAAGCAGATTGAAAATTGCTGAGTCCACTAAAACACGTTGATCTCCATTCTACCCGCTCCAAGGCTAAGCGCTAAAGGGGCTTATGTGGTATATTGACTGCTGACAAGTTGCTTTTCAGCTTGTCTTTGTATCTTAGCCATGGGCGTCCTACATTCCTCTAGCCCTGGTCTAACTTGCTTTACATTAGGATCTTGGGTATCCTGTCATCAGACATTCTCACGGCATAACCAGTCAATCTTAACTGAAACTGTATGAGAAAAGTCTCGATTCCTCCAATATTACACCTGTTAAACAGGTCTACGTTAGATGACCTATCTTGAAGCTTAACTCCACAGATTGCACGAAGACAGCTTTTATGGAAAACATCCAACTGGCGTATATGGTACCTGTATGGAGGCCACGACTTTGAGCGGTACAAAAGGATGGCAAGGACAACAGCTCTATAAACCCGGATTTTCGTATCCAGGCGAATAACCCACTCATTCCACAAGCAATCCGATGCATGGTTTCATCATCTAAAGTTCCACTGTAATTGACTTTGCTACCAAGATAGGTGAAAGACTTTACATTTACGGGTGAGTATTTGTGAAAAAAAAATAGCAATAAAATTCGAATTACACTTTTTTCATAGTTCGGACTTTTGTCCTCATCCGTATTACCATATTCACGACTTATTACATAGTTCAGTGCTTTGTCTTCTACTTTTCAATAGACTGGTGGTTTTTGTTTCTCACCACAGAATTTTGGTGCACTACTTCAGTTTTCTTTATGTTAAGTGTAAGACCAAAGGATTTTCTTGCACTAGAGAAACGATTTATTAAATGTTGGGCATCCTCAAATAATGTCTCAGCAAGAGCAGCAGCATCAGTAAACAACAAATCACGAATAATTTGCGTACGAAGGTGGGTCTTGGCTTTGAAGCGCTGATGATTGAAGCGACCACCAGTTGTTCGAAACTGAAACTTGACGCCGCTCTCTATGTCTGCAAATGCATATTTCAGCATCACCGAGAAGAAAAGGGAAAAAAAGACAGGGGCTATGACACACCCTTGCTTGGTGTCATTTGTGATATCAAAGGATTCTGATATCATACCATCAGGCACAATATTAGCTTTCATTCCTTCAAGAAAGAAGATGATGACCTTTAGCATGTTTTCAGGGATGCCGAGTTTCCTCAAGAATTGCCAAAGAGCCTCTCGATTCACAGTGTCAAAGGCCTTCGTCAAGTCCACAAACACCATGTATAACTCCTGGTTTTTCTCGCGAACCTTCTCTTGACAAAGAGAAAATATCATGTCAATGGTGCCATGACCCAACCGAAAACTACATTGCAATTCAGGATAGATGCTGTCAACAAGGCGTATAATGATTTTGTTAAGAATCAGTCTAGCTAGGATTTTGCCTGCAATTGAAAGTAGTGATATCTCCCGATGATTATCACAAACCCACCTGGAACCCTTGTTTTTGTAGAGGTGTTTGATAGAGGTGTCTTTATAATCCTGTGGGACACAGCCTGCCTTCCATATCTCCACGAAAAGGAGATGTAACTTTTCTACCAACTTTTGGTCACCATGCTTATACACTTCAGGTGGAATAGGACCCTTAGGAGTAGGTGATTTTCCAGATTAGATTTGCTTGATGGAGTCAATTACCTCTTGATAGATAGATTCAAAAGACAACTCCGGAATTTCTGGATTTTGCTCAATTGATGTACTGGCTTCCTCATCAGTAACCGAAGTGGTGTTTAACACAGTTTCGAAATGCTCTTTCCAGCGATCTAAAATGTCTGACTTATCCGTCAAGAGAGTTTCACCATCTGCTGTGGAGATAGGAGCAAGACCATGACGTCACACATGACCACGCGAGAGTGAATTTGAGAAGTATTAAGTATGGGAAGCCGTAGGTATAAACCAATGGCTTCTGTTACCAGTTATATTTGTGGAGATTACATAGTTTATTTTGTTTAGGTTTAATATATATATATATATATATATATATATATATATATATATATATATATATATATATATACTCTTGTCACATGGCCCTTTCCTTCGCTTGCAACCCAAGTACAGCTGGTCCGGTCCAGTCAGGCGAATCTGCACTCGGCGGCTGGGAAGTGAATTCAGGCCTATGCTGCTCTTGGCTCCTTTGATACTCTGGTGTGACATTGAGTGCACAGTCTATTCTGGTATGATCTGTGGTGAGACACTCAATGCACATAGAACTGAACATTTGTCTTGGTGAAATAAGTTGAATGCTTTAACGACGTCCTATCTACTCTTCATCCATAAACAACAAGACAATAATACCAGAAAGAAAGCGGTTAGGAAAACCATGATGTAAATGTCATGTGACCAAATTCCAGGATCAGATAGCACCTCGCCGAAATATTTAAGATAGGTGGAGCCAAACCATGCTACAGAAACTAACCCAAATGATCCGGTTAATATGAAACCAAGTAAGGATGCGGTATCATTTTAAAGAAGCAACTGCTGTTCACGTCTACAAGCAGAAGAATAATCGCTAGTCTTGTACAAATTATCGAGTTATCTCCCTCTAATCCATGACTTATAAGATGTTGGTCCTTATCTTTTTCAATGGCCTTCTGTACCACTTTTATTACCTTTTAGTGAGATCTCCACTATGTAATGGATACGAGATCGTAGACATTACTTTCTTGCGTCCTAACTTTAAAAAGTGAAAAAGCAACATAGAGATGTTTTCATTTTTCCTTTGTAGATCAGACCAAAGCTTTAGATACAATCATGCGCAAAGGCTTACGAAAGATTATTAAGTTTCGATGTCCTGGTAGAGTCAAGGCAATTATCTGAATGTTCCGCAATGGTTTGATGACCAGTGCTTTAGATGAGGGCCATAAACCATATCTTCTTGTGATATATATCTTCTCAATGACGTCAAACAAGGTTAAATTCTCACTGCATCTCACTTCTCTATATTTTATGCCATGTTAACAGACGAAATTAAACTTCGAAATTATTGATTAATTTTACGGCTTATCAACCATTTGCAGGTTATTTAAACCCAGAAATATTTTTTTAGATTGTAAGACTTTTTTTTTAGATAATAATGATTTACTGATACAAGTCCTACTAATTAACACATAGCTGGGGGCAGGAGACGTGAATTCATACCTTTTCCAAGGTTATTTGTGCGTAAGTGAATATATAAAACCTGACTGGATTTGAACCTCGGCTCTCCGTTTTTCAATTCTGAGTTTTCCGTTATTCATTTCATCATCCGCACATTCAACGTTACAGCACCTGGCATTTCCAAGCGGTTACCCATCTAGATACTGATCAGGCTCGATGTAGGTTAACTTTAGAGATCTAAAAAGAAGTTCAAATGTATTTACTTGCTTTGGAGATAAGTAAATACTAATCGTTTATATTTGAGTCTATAAGCATTTGCTTCATTAGGGCATAGGTTATTGTTTGTATTTGAATCTATGCCTATTTACCTGGTTCGGTGATTGTCCTTTATATTTGAGCCTATAAGCATTTTCTGGTTCGGAGATAGGTAAATATTGGTTGTTTTATTTGAGTCAATATTCACTTGATAAGCGGGATCTTTTTATGGTAGTCTAACACCTTTGCCGTGAATGCAGTCGGCATATTCTATGCCCCGCGACAGGGCCTGGAATACAATAAATAGAAGAAAGAAAGAAAATAAGAATGAAAGAGACTTATTCAAGTTAACCTAATTTGTTAAATAGTCAAATAAGAAAAACAGAAGCCTGCGAAGATTGTTCCGAACCAATAGTGAGAAAGATCTGTCTGCATTGACAACACGGAAATCTTCTAAAAACTTGAATTCAGATACTAACGGTGACAGCGGGAAGAACGCAACTACTTCAGCCACCAGATAGGCATTATATTTATATAAACAGTGACGTGCGTTTCTTTTTTAAATCCAGTAAACCTATATCTTCTGACTATTCTTTTTTTTATCTCTTCCCGCCCAATGCC